AAAAATTTAAAACAAAAATAAATTAAATAATGAAATCCCTCTCAATCCTCCCAAATCAGAGGTGGAGAGATTGAAAATGAAAGAGGAGAAGGGGCTCTATCTCCCTTCATCTCCCTCTTTTTCATTAAAATTTTTTATCCAAATAAGAAAAGAGCTTTCACCTCCTCACTCTCCTCTTTTTCCCCTCCAACTTCCTCCATTCAAACCAAGTGTTACTGTTCTTAACGTTGCATGTACTATTTGGCTAACGAGAAATAAACAACTGGATGGCTTGGAATAAAGATAGGACTTTTGAGCTTGTGTAACCCAAATCGTTCTACTAGACCTGATATTGGACTCTAAACATATTTTGCGCTCAAATTTTGCCCTAAAATCTGTATAGGAACTATTGGGTAAGGTCAAGTTTGAAAATCTTGAAAAATAAGAAACAAAGACCAAAATTTAGCCTATCCATTATCATGGGCTACGCATGAATTTTCATACTACTACAGTATTTTCCTAGGTCAACCCTAGCAAAATTTATAGACAGATCTAGAAGCTCACAAAAATGCCTCTCTATTGCTGCAAAACTTTATACCTAACAATGGTATGAGATGAATTTAGTTAAGTTGATATCCACTAATTATTTTGTTTTAGAGATAAGATTAGAACCTAGAAGATTCAAACTTTTATGAATGCTAAGCAATTAATTATGCAATAAAAAAATGTAATAATTAATGCAACTTTTCAACTTGAACTTATTAGATTGCGCTAAAAAAAAAAAAAAAAACTTTGAACTTACCAGCCAGTGAACCAAGAAGCAAGAGGGCCCCACTGATTTCCTCCGAGCTTGGAACTCCAGTAGTAAAGCCCACCTGAGGTTGGATATGCAGAGCAAATCTCAGCCATCGCAAGGCCCACAATCATGGTAAGGGCTCCTACAATGGGCCACCCATATATCATCGTGACAGGCCCACCATAAGTGAGTCCGTCTGCGTACATTGTAGTCAGCCCAGTAATTACCGAAACGATCGAAAACGTCACCGAAAAGTTCGCCACCGCCCTGAAAATCACCACGCACGCCGTAACATTGACGACGGAATCAGAATCGAAACGAAAACGTGAACGCCGACGAATTTATTAAATCCGTCGAACGTACGCATTCCGACTATGTAATTCTGAAAAGAAGGAAGCAGATTTTACGCACGAGAGGCTGCGGCGGAGCTCTTGCTTGTAACCGAGCTGTTTCAAGCGAACATCGTCGGAATCGAGAGCGGCGGCGTCTTGCCGGAGAGGGAGGTAAGGACCTGCATCTTCAGAGACTCGGATTCCAGAATCCATCTCAGGTGCAATGAGAAATACTTTTCAATACTCTGTCAGAAAGCATAACGATGTATGTGTGTATATACTTCCCCTAACTACTGAAACCACCAGTCAAATTTTCGAAATTTGGGGTTTTAGGGTTTGAGAAGTTGCACCTGGTTTTCATTTGGGTTTTTTTTCTTAAAGAGTAAGGTGGGGAACAATGCTACGTGGTGGGTTGAATTATGTGTTGCTGATATTTATGAGCCTAATTGTTCTGTTATAGCCTTTTATCTCAAAAGGTGCTAGTGCATTTTCCCAACAGAAGACGGCAATTACTGATTTCTTACTTGTTTTTTAATGCAAATTATGACTCCTGTGGGAGAGGATGGATGGATATTGACTGAAAACAGCGTTGTGTTGTGTAGTCTTTTTTTTTTTGGACGAATTGAATGTGAGGTGTTGAATAGGCGTCGCTGAGGGATCCAATAACGAGCATGACTGATGGATGAGGGAAAGGTATTGAATAAGTACACTAATTAAATTATTAAGACCATGTTCGATTTTGGATAAATATTATGTCATACTGATCTTTCTGTGAGAGTACTATGATTTACTTGTTTCAGAAAATAAAAGAATAAAAGGTAAATGGTTACACTTCACGCATAGTGTTTATGATAAGATGATGAAAACAGATTGAAGATTGTTTTTTTTCAGATACGGCGGAGACACTCCCTGTGCCTTAGCAAAAGGACACTCCCAAATTTGCTCTCCTTTTCCTCTTAGATTGACTATATTTTTTGCACAGGTGTCAAGAGAGGAGAGATTTTTATTTTTTTTTTGATATATCAAAAAGTTAACTGTTTAATAATGTAGAGATTTTGACTTATAATTTTGACTTCAAATCAAAGTTTTTAAATTAATAAATAGTAATTCAAACAAGCTCTTATTGGTTTTAGAGGCCTTGCTCTCAAGTTTCAATTAGGATGAACAAAATCTCCTCGAGTTGCATAAGCTGTACTCTGTCATGATTCGTCAGGATATGTTTAAGATAGTTTAGCCTTCAAAGGAAAAGAGAGTTCAATCTGCCCTAGATGGGAAGCCATAAACCTTGCAAGCTGCATTAGATCTCTGACAGTCAAATTGGCAATGCAAAACCTTGTATATGAATCAGCTTGTAAAGAGCTAATCTGAGTGGGGTTCTAAGACTCTGTTGAGCAATGATGTGTCTTCGGCTTTGAATCTATGAAATTTAGTTTCTGTTTTTAAAAACTAGACCATAGTAAATTAGTAATAATTTAGAAAATAATGAGTAATTCTTCACACCTGCACTAACAGAGTAGTCTTTGAGAGACAGGAGCTGCCTCAAGCGGTTCTAAACTCACGGGAAGCAGCTAATCTCTTGTAGATTTCCATGACCAACCTGCTATCAACTTCCTCACCACCAGACACCACTGCAATATGCTGGCCTTTGGCAATCTTCTTCCCTCCAAACAAACCACTGCCGTTAGCCTTCCCCAAATTGTTCTCCACACGAATCATCATGTCCACATAAGCATCATGAAACCTCGCCAGAAATGTGAACAATGATGAGGACATTCTCAACCGCAGCTTTGAAATCACTCTGATTTCCCAAATCCAGCCTCCAGTAGAAGCAGTTCCTCCCCCAAGCCTTATAACCTTTACCCTCCTCCTATTCCCAATACCCTTCTCCTCCAAAACCTCTTCAAGCTCTCAAGGCAAGCGTTTGGCATGATCTTCATTCTTGATACTATGATAAAAGATAGAAGAAGAGAAATGGAAGAGGAGAGTAGAGCTCTCGGCTAAGTGAAGGAGCTAGGGGGTTATAACGTTATGTAGTATGAGAGATTGAGGGGGCAAATGGTGGAAATTCAAATCATGTTCGAAAAGAGAATAATAAATTGAGGAAACAGTGAAGGCAATGTATGCTTACGGGTCAGAATGCACAAGCAGAATAAAGTAATTACTCATACGATTTGATTATTTGTCTTTATGTTACTACTTCTCGGATTTGGTCCTTATACTCCTTTGATTCTTTTTTACTTGATATATTATTATGTAATTCGTATTGGTAGGGAAATGTCTGTTTTTCAACCATCGAACTATGGCTTCTATCATAGCAAGGAAAAAATTGTTTCTTGATGGATTTATTGATGATGGGATTAAGAAATGACCCAGTTGACGTAGATCCTATGTACGTTTACCGGTTACTATTTTTTTTGCAACGAGCCATGCCCGTAAGAAGAAGCCAGCACGAATAACAAATCGAGAAATAATTTTGCAACTCACCATTCATTAGGAAACAGTCTTGTAGAATTCAGAATTGTGACCACCGCACGATGAATAATACAACTCCAAGCCTAGTTGATCTGAAACTGGAAAGTGTAGACAAAACACTTGTGTCTGTACATTACTACTTTTTGGTACATAAAGACTAGGGCGCTAGAGTACATAAATCTACCACTAGATCATGTGCTATAGTATTACTACAGCCAAATGGGATTGGAAGAAACACACTGAGCAAAATCTGGTAATGAATAATAACTAATAAAACTACAGAAATGGATGTTCAAGCTTGATCAGTAGGAAAACAGGCGAGAATACCTACCTACCTGCGTAGAGAGAATGCTCTATACACAAAATTAAGAAGACTATGGACATACATTCATTATGTTTATTCTAGTAGACCCAAGCCGAACCCATCTGATTTGACCTGTTGACTAGGTCTATCTGTACCGCTAAGATGTAGAGTGTCAGTATCCCCTTCCACCTCTTGTCCCTTCTACAATGTGGCTAGTTTCAAAGGCATTCACTCTGCCAATTTCCATGTCGTGATGAGAACCAACAAGCACACTCTCAAGCTCTGATCGATTGACTCTTACACTATTGGTATTGTTTGGCTGAGTGTCACCTTGAGACTCTGCCAGCATCTGAAAATATGCGTGAGGTCCCCAGCCTGCAGCAATCAAATAGAAAGGAGCTTAAAAAGACACAGAGAAAGATGGAGTCAACGCAGGAAAACTTCATAAAAATACCATGCCCTTTGTTCCAATTCATTTTGTTACTCTATGGTTCAGTTTTG